GCGGACGTAGAGGAAGTAGACGATCGGAAGCGAGCAGTCGCGTAATCGCTGCCCAAAAACCTATTCGCCCCTCACCCCGTACAGGAACCAGAAGGGCGTGGTTTCGGAGACCTGCTCTCCCGTCGACCGTGTACGTGGCGGACGGGATGGAGTCACCGGTGGCAGCAGCAGCAAAGGAACGACGGTGGGCGTGCGCGTGAGCAGATGTGATCTGTTCGTGGCGGCTAGGGTTAGGAGACACCGCATACTTATAGGCGCAGCCGCGTGGAGAGACGTGGGCTCGACCCACGTCCGAGTCCGTGACAGCCCACGATCCGACGTCTCAGATCGTGGCCCAGCTGTCAGAAAACTCTCCGTTAGTGACTGGCAAAAATAAGCGCGTAGGTGTGAGCTCGGCTCGGCTCAATCCCGCAACCCGCGGCGCGTCGTGACGAGGCGTGGCGTGGCGTGGCGAGGCGGGCGGCGGAGGAGGAGTGCGCGAGGGCCTCTTCTCTTCTCAAGCTCCAATAGCATGTAGAAGAGAAACCCTTATAAACCACTCCAACTCTCCTTCCACTTCCGGGGTGGGACTAAACTTCCCACCACACCTAGTGCCATATAACCCACATGGGCCCTTAGAGATTTTTCAGAAATTGTAATATGGGCCTAGAGCCCATCTCAGATTTCAGCAATCCCCCACCAGATCTCGAGGGCCCATTGTATCCTCTGTTCCAATTGCTGTTTCGATATACCAGTGTTTCAGTAAAGACCTGTTAAGGTTGAACTTCACCTAGAACAAGTGGCTACACTCCTTCACAACTGAACAATGGACTATGCCTTGAATTGTCAGTTTGGCGTAAAGAAGTTTCACTACATGTCTTCCTAGTACTAGGCTGCCGAAGGCTGACCCCTCGGGTGGAGCATATAAGTCACACTCCTGGCCTATTCATGAGCTTACTAGAGATCACCCCAATCTCATAGACTGTGACCAGCAGTCGGGCTCATATAGGTGTGTTCCTCCAAAGATCGCTCTGTAGGATAGCATCTTGCTTTTATAAGCTTTGGAACACATTGAGACCGTAGTCATCCTACCATACATTATCGAGAGTATTGCATCTCCAACGGAGTGGGTTAGTATAGTTACTCTCCTCAGTTCACCACTGGCTTGTTTTCCCAGGTCCTAGTTCACGGGATCTCCGATCATATAGGTTGGGTTACCACCATGGCAACTCATGTGGGTCTCATACCCATCTCCCTCGATGCATTGTCTATCACAACACGTGATAGCCCTTTTGTAAAGGGATCTGCCAGATTCTTAGCCGTATGGACATAGTCCAACGCTATCACTCCGGAGTTTCTTAATTTTCTGACAGCTTTTAATCTCATTTTTATGTGTTTGGTGGACTTCATGTTGTCCTTTGAACTCTTCACCTTGGTGATGACAGTCTGATTGTCACAGTTCATAAGGATAGCCGGAACCGGTTTATCAACCAATGGCAAGTCCATCAAAAGATCTCGAAGCCATCTCGCTTCAACACCAGATGTGTCTAATGCCGTTAATTCTGCTTCCATTGTCGATCTCGTTAAGATCGTTTGCTTGCAAGACTTCCAGGAAACAGCGCCACCTCCAAGAGTAAACATATACCCAGTTGTGGCCTTCATCTCATCAGCATCAGAGATCCAATTCGCATCACTATACCCTTCAAGTACCGACGGGTATCCGGTATAGTGAAGTCCATAGTTCATAGTACCTTTCAGATAGCGCATAACTCTCTCAACAGCATGCCAATGTACATCACCCGGTTTGGAAACAAACCGTCTCAGTTTGCTCACAGCAAACGCGATGTCAGGCCTCGTTGCGCTCGCTAGGTACATCAGTGAACCAATGATTTGAGAGTATCTCAATTGATCTTTAGCCATGCCCGCGACAAACTTGCCCGGTAACTCGCACTTGAGAAGCTCAAGTTCCTTAACAATGCATATTATCTCATGAGCCTGCTCCAATACAGGACGGTTTTCAACCATCTTGTAATCGTGGAACTGCTCTATAATATACATCTCGCTCCCTGCATCGGCGGCCCCGAATTTAGATTCGAGCGCCTCCCACAAGTCCTTGGCGACATGCACATGTAAATATGCGTCGACCAGTTTATCTCCGATCACGCTAAGAACTGCTCCGAGAAACACAACGGTAGCCTCCTTGAACGCCTTCTCCTGTTCAGGAGCAATCGTTCCCGTGGAGACACCGGTGACCCAGAACACGTTCATAGCCGTGAGCCATAACGTGGTCTTAGTCTGCCAACGCTTGAAGTATGTACCGGTAAACTTATCCGGTTTCAGTGCAGCGGCAAAGCCACTTGCCGAGAAATTCCTACACATAATAGGTTTTTGGATTGTTGAGTAAATAGGCAATTTCTCGATTAAATTAATCCATGAGTAAATCACTAGCATGGCATTGACTAAGTTGATGACGTACTGACTCTGAGCTAAACATGCACGTACTAAGCAAACAGTAGACAAATCTACACATACTGCTAGTACTGCTAATATGAAAATAATCAGGAGCGGGATAAACGAGTTATACCCTCCAGTAGGCCACGCAGAGGCCGCGGCTTTGGTGGCAGCAGCGGCGTCCTCGGCGACCTTCTTGTCGGCTTCAGCTTTCTCGGCGGCGGCACGGTCGGCGTCGGTGGACATGGTGATGACGAAGGCGACGCGGACGTAGAGGAAGTAGACGATCGGAAGCGAGCAGTCGCGTAATCGCTGCCCAAAAACCTATTCGCCCCTCACCCCGTACAGGAACCAGAAGGGCGTGGTTTCGGAGACCTGCTCTCCCGTCGACCGTGTACGTGGCGGACGGGATGGAGTCACCGGCGGCAGCAGCAGCAAAGGAACGACGGTGGGCGTGCGCGTGAGCAGATGTGATCTGTTCGTGGCGGCTAGGGTTAGGAGACACCGCATACTTATAGGCGCAGCCGCGTGGAGACGTGGGCTCGACCCACGTCCGAGTCCGTGACAGCCCACGATCCGACGTCTCAGATCGTGGCCCAGCTGTCAGAAAACTCTCCGTTAGTGTCGTGACGAGGCGAGGCGAGGCGAGGCGAGGCGAGGCGTGGCGAGGCGGGCGGCGGAGGAGGAGTGCGCGAGGGCCTCTTCTCTTCTCAAGCTCCAATAGCATGTAGAAGAGAAACCCTTATAAACCACTCCAACTCTCCTTCCACTTCCGGGGTGGGACTAAACTTCCCACCACACCTAGTGCCATATAACCCACATGGGCCCTTAGAGATTTTTCAGAAATTGTAATATGGGCCTAGAGCCCATCTCAGATTTCAGCATAGGTAACCATTCGCTTTTCGGCAAAAAAAATCCTGTAGTACTAAGTCTCACGATGGGCATAGTATACCCCCTTGTACGGCTTTGCCATCAAAGTTGTAATGGAGCTTCATTATGCAACCGATAAATTAATAGTAAATCATAATTTTCGTCCGCAAAAAGAAAAAAATCATAGTTTTCGTTCCTCGTCTTTATTGAAATAATTTATCCCTCGACTTCACCCACGAAGTCAGTAGTGTCTCAACTTTCAGAACCAGGTAAGTTTAGTCCTTTAGACTGTTTGAGGTGGTTTCCTGTCTGCATGGGCATGGTTTTCATAGAGACCCGACATGTCACAGATGTTTGAATATTATGACATTATCTGGTAGTAGCATGTCATTATGGTATTTAGAAAATAATATTATTATCACACTATCTGGCTATTCAAAAACAAATTAAAGTCAAACATTGTCTATGTTGTACCAACTTTATAGAAAAAATATATAAAGATTTACAATACTAAATATATAAAATATAAAAATATATTTCATGTTGATCTAGTGACAATGGTTTGGTATTCCAGACATTGATATTTTTGTCAATAAACTTGGTCAAAGTTAGGGAAGTTTAACTTTTGAAAAAAAAATACACCTTATATTCAGGAACCGAGAGAGTACTACAACTCAGATTTTTTTAACTGATAGCCATGATTTGGTTGGTTAGTAGGTTAAAACGAAATATGATAATTTCGCAAAAGGTTGAAATATGATAAATGGGGCCCGCATGTCATTGACTATGGTAGGCTTGAGAGGGCAAACATTTTTTTTTGGATAATTCAATCAATCTTTCCCTGAGTATTCTCAGAATTTTTCGGCACATTTTGCTGGGCCATTTCAAACTTTTTGCCTGTTTTTGTATTCCTCAGCCAGATATTTTTGAAACGGATGGCAAAAGCTTTGCCTCGTCTCATTAATTAAGAAGGGGTAAGACAATGTTTTGAGATTACAGGTTCAATCAAAAGGATTACTCTCCCGGAATTAAATTATCCAATAATTTAGCCCCGGCGATCACCCACGTCTTTGCCTCATCTTTAATCGTTGCGACCACTCTTGATGGAAGGGAAGCTTTGGAACGGAATACCCTAGCATTCCTCTCGTTTCAAATCTACCAACATACCCTAGCGTTCCTCGGCCAGATGTGAAGTCACACTCACACGTAATCAAGTTGGTTAGTACTCCCTCTGTAAAAAAATATAAGATCATTTAATCACTACTTTAGTGACCTAAAAGCTCTTATATTTCTTTACAGAGGGAGTAGGTTATGGTGAAATATGATAAATGGGAGCTGCATGTCATCGACGTGGTACTGGCAAATGTGCTCGGTCAGAAAAACTGAAAAAATATCGGATAATTCAATCAATCTTTACCCGAGTATTTAGGGGGAAATCGAGCACAGTTTGCTAGGCCATTTGAAACTTTTGGTTGTTTCTCTATTTGCCGGCAAGATTTGAAGTCAAGCAAATTTGAGTTTCTCCTGAACCGTCGCTCCGTGACTGCAGGGTGGTGGAGAGCATCGGCGAGCAGGTGGAGGGCTTCGCGGCGGGGGACGCGGTGGTGCCGACGTTCCTGGCGCAGTGCAGCGAGTGCGCGGACTGCAGGTCGTCCCGGAGCAACGTGTGCTCCAAGTACCGATTCGCGGTGCGGCCGGGGATGCCGCGCGACGACACCACCCGCTTCCGCGACGGCGACGGGAACCCCATCCACCACTTGTTCGGCGTGTCCAGCTTCAGCGAGTACACCGTGGTGGACGTGACCCAGGTCGTCAAGGTCGACCCCGCCGTGCCGCCGGCCACCGCCTGCCTCCTCAGCTGCGGCGCCACCACCGGTCAGTCCACTACACCCACTGTGCTCTGCAGTCTGGAACTGCTAGTAGTCAGTACAGTACGTACTGAAATGTTTGTGATCAGGCGTCGGAGCGGCATGGAAGCTGGCCAAGGTCGAGCCGGGATCTTCGGTCGCTATCTTCGGCCTCGGCGCCGTCGGATTGGCGGTAATCTGATTCCTGCTGCTGTAGTTCTGTACATGTTTAGCCATTGCATTGCACTCCATTGCGGAAATTTACTGGACAACATTTCGCGGTCAGGTGGCTGAAGGCGCCAGGATTTGTGGGGCGTCGAAGATTATCGGCGTGGACTTGAACCCCGATAAAGAAGAGCTCGGCAAGGCCGTCTTCCGTTTTACGCCATGAAATTGCTCTGAAAACTGCACTGAATACTTAAGTCGTTCTGTTGTCTGACACGTTTCAGCACCTGCTTCGTGTTTCAGGAAAGAAGTTTGGCGTGACGCATTTCATCAATCCAAAAGAGCTTGGGGAGAAAACTGTGAGCCAGGTGAGCACCTGTCTATGCTGTTTCACCATTGGCCTCGTGATCTGGTCAATGTTTTTGTTGAAATCGTGCACTTAGACACCTGGTTCCCCGTGATAAACAGGTGATCATCGAGATGACCGACGGCGGTGCCGACTACTGCTTCGAGTGCATCGGGCTGGCGGCGCTGATGAACGACGCCTTCCAGAGCTCCCGGGCGGTATGTGCACACACACATTCCTCCATCTGTCATGCAAAGATGACTTTCACTTCTTGACATGGCTTTGCCGACGCAGGGATGGGGCAAGACGATCATCCTCGGGGTGGAGATGCACGGCGCCCCTCTCACCATATCTTCGCTGGAGATCCTCCACGGGAAATGCGTCATGGGGTCGCTCTTCGGAGGGGTGAAGCCCAAGCAGGACATTCCAATCCTCGCCGACAAGTACCTGAACAAGGTGACACTCATCAGACTGACCATGCGTAGCACTGTCGATGTTCTTGAGAGCTTCTGATTCAGAGAATTTTTCCATGTGTTTTGTTTTGTTGGACAACACAGGAGCTGGAGCTGGACAAGTTCATAACCCACGAGGTTGGCCTCAAGGACATCAACACGGCGTTCGACCTGCTGCTGCAGGGGAAGAGCCTCAGGTGCACCATATGGATGGACAAGTGACAATGCCGCATGGCTGTTAAGTGGAGTTTGCTGCTCATTCCAGTACAAAATAATTGGGTTTCATTGCTGCCGCGTGTAGTAGTCCTCTTTGTGCCGTGCATGTGTTGACTTAATGTGCCGATGTAACTTCATCCATCCGTGTTGAACTTCATTGTTCATCAGTACTCCAACCAGTTGTGTGAATTGCAACAGTTATCTGTCTGTCTCCGTTAGTGCAATATACGTTGACTTGTTTCTTCAGTGATTCAGAGAAGTCTCGGCCGTGATCTTTTCTTGCTGAAAAACCAGAACTTTTCACATGTTCCTAAACCAAAGCTAACAACCGTCTCAACTTGTCATCACGCCCAAATTTAGGCACCCGGTTCCCAGCCACATATTTACCAACCACTTCGAACGCACGCGTAATGCACCTCCCTCTTTTATCCTCTTCTTCCCCCACATGCCTAAAATTTTAGCGCATTGCCAACCGCAGCACCGTTATGGCCTGAGAGTTGTTGCCCCGGTCATCCATTTCAACAAACGGCTCGGTCCGGATGCAGGCGGTCCGGCCGGACATGGAGCAGCAGGTCGCCGAGCTCCGTGGCGAGCTGCGCAAGGTGCGGGAGGAGCGCGACCGCGCCCACCGCGTCCTGGAGGTGACGGAGTGGAAGGCGCTCGACTCGGCCAACGACCGCACCACCATCGAGACGCTGGAGGCGCAGCTGGACGCGTCGCGGGAGTCCGAGTCCCGGATGCTCGAGTCGCTGTCGCTGCAGACCAAGCAGCTGGAGATCACCAAGATGGCGCTGGAGGAGGCCAGGATCGACGTCGCGTCGCTAAGGGACACGGTGCAGCGGCTCGAGGCCAGCGCCGTCGCCGTCGCCGCCGCCAAGCCGAGGGGCCGGTACGACCGCGAGCTGCAGCGGGTCAGCGGCGAGCTGCGGGTGGCGCTGGCCGGGGAGGAGAAGAACAAGCGGGCCATGGAGGAGCTCGTGCTGGCGCTCAAGGAGGTGAACGCGGAGCTGCACACCACGCGGCAGCAGCTGGCGCGCGCGCAGCACGAGTCGGAGACGGCGAGGCTCGAGTCCGACCGGCTGCACGTGTCGCTGAAGCGCAAGGACGACAAGGTCCGCGCGCTGTCCGACGAGGTGGCCCGGCTCCGCTCCGACGCCGAGGAAGCGTTCGCCACGTTCCGGGGCAAGGAGGCCGGGTTCACGGCGTGCATGAAGTCCTCGGAGGCGGAGCTCGCCGCGTCCCGGCGCGAGAACGCGCGGCTCCTCGAGTCGCAGCGGTCCGGGCGGCACGAGGTGGCCAAGCTGCGGGACATCCTGAAGCAGGCCGTCAAGGACACCAAGTTCGTCAAGGAGGCGCTGGAGGAGGCGAGGAGCGAGAACGCGGCGCTCAAGGAGATGGTCGGGAGCAAGGACACGGCCGTCAAGTGCAGCAAGGAGGAGCTGGAGTGCCTGCGGGTCAGCGAGGCCGCGGCGCGCGACAGCGTCAAGGAGCTGCAGAGCCTGCTGGTGGCCACGTCGTCGAGCCCCACCCCCACGCCGTCCGCGGCGGCGGGAGCGGGGAGGTCGTTCGACCTGGAGGTCGACCCGTCGTCGCCGTCGCCGCGGACGCCGGCGGATCAGCCGCCCGAGGGCGAGAGCCGGCTGTTGGACGCGAGGATGAAGCCGCCGCCGGACGGGTTCCCGCTGCCGCGGCAGATGTCGGAGAACTACGAGGGGTCCGTGTACGACATCTTCGGGACGGTCGAGGAGCCCAAGGGCGAGATGGGCGTGTTCACCAGGATGACGACGATGCCTGGCCGGCGGCGCGTGGTCATGCGCAAGGTCGGCAGCTTGTTCCGGTGGAAGAGCTTCAACAACAAGTAGCGACTTTGTGATGCTCACGGCGGGAGCCGTGTGCCGTGTATGTATGTTGTACAATGTCCTTGGAATTGCTAGTTTGTGTTGGGTAATTGGCGTCTTGATCGGGAGGGGGAGATATTTTGCTGCCCTGTGATAAGAATTGCCCTTGTAAATGACTAATAAGTGTGTATATGTGATCACCTCATTGCGGCTTGGAAATGCTATTTTGCAGCGCCCGCCTGGAGAAGGCCGCTTGGCGCGTGACATGTCAAGCCCTAGTTTGAAACGAAGGCAGAAGTTGTACCCTATCTCATTAACAAATGCCCACGCTAGACAGCGTGGAACATGAATACTACAAAGGCATACTCGACCAACCTATCTCACAACAAATACATTATACACAGCCTAGAAGATAAATACACCGCTGAGGTTGCACATAAGTCTCATTGTCAATTCGTCATCACCGCTCTACAAGCAACCGACTCCGATTTACCGTCGACGAAGTCCTCCCAACAACATGTGTGAAGCCACGCTAAGGTCAACAAAATAGTCGTCCACATCGGCGGAAAATGAGATGGGTGCGTGCATGAGTATGTTGCGCAGGTTGCGGAATGTTGGACCTACTCCTCAAACTAAAACTACATGATTATTTTTCAAGGATCATTCTCATCTATCAACGACCAGGTTATCTCAAAAGCGTGGGTGAAAAGTTTATTAGGCTTTTCATGTGGCTTTAGGTACGGTGCAACATTCTCACGGACGATGCGTTATCCATGAAGGGGATAGCCTTGTAGCATGCTTGGGCCCCTCATTGGTACGCCCTTGATACCACGAGTCACCTCGCTCAGGGATGCAACATCTCGTTGCTGGTGCCGCACACGATTCACTATGGTAGGTAATCATGTGCTCGCTGAGTTCCAGGCTATGTCAACGCCAAATTCTTCTACATTGGTGTAATTGCGTCGGTGCCTCGATTTATGTTAGGGTTAGGTTCATTGGATGGGTACAATAGGTTGGTACTTTAGATATGTTTTGTCCCAATAGTATATCAACCGCAAGTGTTATGGATTTCTCCAAACTTTCTTCTCGTTTTAATTTCTAATAAAATTAACTTGTTTTGCCCGAATAATGGCAAAACTTCGAGCAACAATGGGCCTATCTTGTACCATGTAAAGGATGCTCTCATTTTCCCTCCTTTTCTCCCTTCTCCCTCACCCTTGAGAGTTGCCACTACTTCCATGGCTCCTCTCCCCATCTCCTCATGGGGTCTACCCGCAAGGAGTAGGCATGTTAGAGCAGTCTGGTTGTCGCTTTGCTTAGTAGGTGTAGGATTAGAACTAGGTCTAGGATTGTCTTAGAGGCGATGGACTTGATGTCATACCAAAGTTGTGCCCTGGCGCTTGGGAGTCGCTCCTGTTGTCGTGTACTCCTTCTCCCGCTCACCCTCCATAGCGGGGGATGATTTCTAGAGTTGTATTTAGTGAAGGCACATGTACTAACCTCAACAGCTCACATGAGTGAGTTGATGTGGTTGTCACTCCTATCTTCCTCGGTCATAGAAATAGAATGGGAGATGGGGACATAGCCGCATAACACTTGTCCAGATTTGGCGTTCCATAGGGTGTTGTAGCTGGCATGAGGTATCATCGTATTCCTCTAGCCACTGCATTATGGGCATGTTTGGTAACCCGCATAGAGGCCAACCAGGCCCACACAGGAAGAAATTGGGTTGTTTGGTAGCCCACATTCACTATTTGGCCCGCATCGCACGGACCTCAAAGCACCTCCCAGCTAGGCCGCTGGGAACACTCAAATCATCAGTTTCCATCGAGCCGGGGTGAGGTGAGGCATATCGAGCACACATGGTACTCCCCAAAATTAATCTACATGATTTGGTTCCAGGGATCATTCTCATATACCAAGGACCAGACTATTTTGAGGAAATGGGCGAAAAGTTTATCAGGGTTCATATTTTGCTTTAGGTATGGTGCAGCATCCTCACGGCCGATAGGCTACCCGTGAATGGGTGGTTTTGTAGCATGCTTGTCCCCTTCCACAGTAACGCCCTTGAGACGATGACTCACCTCGCTCAGGGGTGCAACATCTCGTGGCAGGTGCAGCACACGGTTCGCTTTGGTGACAAACCATGCATTCTCGAGTTCCAGGTTATGTTGACTTCAAAGTATTATTTCAGACATTGGTGTGATTGCGTTGGGGCCTTGATTCATGCTAGGGTTACGTCAGTAGGTGGGTGATGACACAAATAGGTTGGTAATTTAGATATATTTTTTCCCAATAGGACATTGGCCACAACTGTTATGGATTTCACCAATATTTCTTACCATGTCAATTTCTAACAAAATTTACTTCCTTTTTTTCAAAGTACAACAAAACTATTGGGGAACGCAGTAATTTCAAAAAAAAATCCTACGATCACGCAAGATCTATCTAGGTGATGCATAACAACGAGGGGGAGAGTGTGTCCATGTACCCTCGTAGACCGAAAGCGGAAGCGTTATGTAACGCGGTTGATTTAGTCGAACATCTTCGCGATCCAACCGATCAAGTACCGAACGCACGGCACCTCCGCGATTTGCACACGTTCAGCTCGGTGACGTCCCTCAAACTCTAGATCCAGCCGAGGCCAAGGGAGATTTCTGTCAGCAGGACGGCATGGTGACGGTGATGATGAAGTTACCGGCGCAGGGCTTCGCCTAAGCACTACGACGGTATGAACGAGGTGGAAAACTGTGCAGGGGGCACCGCACATGGCTAAAGATCAACTTGTGTGTCTATGGGGTGCCCCCCTCCCCTGTATATAAAGGAGGAGAGGAGGGGGCCGGCCGGCCACAAGGGGTGCACCCAAGGGGGGAGTCCTACTCCAAGTAGGAGTAGGTTTCCCCCTTTGGGTATCCTATGAAAACACACTTCTCCGATTTGGGTTTGAGCTTATCAGGTTGAAGTTTTTTCACATAAGCATCGCAAGCCCAAACTTTAAGAACGACAACTTTGGTTTCTTGCCAAACCACAGTTCATAAGGCGTCGTCTCAACGGATTTTGACGGGCCCTGTTTAACATGAATGCAGTTGTATCTAATGCATAAACCCAAAACGATAGTGGTAAATTGGTAAGAGACATCATAGATTGCACCATATCTAATAAAGTGCGGTTACGATGTTCGGACACACCATTATGCTGTGGTGTTCCAGGTGGCGTGAGCTGTGAAACTATTCCATGTTATTTTAAATGAAGGCCAAACTCGTAACTCAAATATTCTCCTCCACGATCAGATCATAGAAACTTTATTTTCTTGTTACGATGATTCTCTACTTCACTCTAAAATTCTTTAAACTTTTCAAATGTTTCAGACTTGTGTTTCATTAAGTAGATATACCCATATCTACTCAAATCATCTGTGAAGGTCAGAAAATAACGATACATGCCACAAGCATCAATACTCATTGGACCACATACATCGGTATGCATTATTTCCAATAAGTCACTATCTCATTCCATTGTTCCGGAGAACGGAGTTTTAGTCATCTTGCTCATAAGGCACGGTTCGCAAGTATCAAATGATTCATAATCAAGTGATTCCAAAAGTCCATCTTTATGGAGTTTCTTCATGCGCTTTACACCAATATGACCCAAACGGCAGTGCCACAAATAAGTTGCACTATCATTATCAACTTTGCATCTTTTGGCATCAATATTGTGTGTATCATTACGATCGAGATTCAATAAACCATCAACATTGGGTGTATGACCATAGAAGGTTTTATTCATGTAAACAGAATAGCAATTATCCTCTGTCTTAAATGAATAACCGTATTTCAATAAACATGATCTAATTATATTCATGCTCAACGCAAACACCAAATATATTTAAGTTCAACACTAATCCCGAAAGTATAGGGAGGGTGGGATGATGATCATATCAATCTTGGAACTACTCCCAACACACATCGTCACTTCACCCTTAACTAGTCTCAGTTTCTGTAACTCCTGTTTCGAGTTACTAATCTTAGCAACCGAACAAGTATCAAATACCCAGGGGTTACTATGAACACTAATAAAGTACACATCAATAATCTGTATATCAAATATACCTTTGTTCACTTTGCCATCCTTCTTATCCACCAAGTATTTGGGGTAGTTTCGTTTCCAGTGACCATTTCCTTTGCAGTAAAAGTACTTAGTTTTAGGCTTAGGTTTAGCTTTGGGCTTCTTCACGGGAGTGACAACTTGCTTGCCATTCTATTTAAAGTTCCCTTTCTTTCCCTTTGCCTTTTTTGAAACTAGTGGTCTTGTCAATCAACACTTGATATTTTTCTTGATTTCTACCTTCGTCGATTTCAGCATCACGAAGAGCTCGGGGATCGTTTTTGTCATCCCTTGGATACTATAGTTCATCATGAAGTTCCAGTAACTTGGTGATGGCGACTAGAGAACTCTATCAATCACTATCTTATCTGGAAGATTAACTCCCGCTTGATTCAAGTGATTGTAGTACCCAGACATTCTGAGTACATGCTGAAGTAAATATGCCCTAGAGGCAATAATAAAGTTATTATTTATTTCCTTATATCATGATAAATGTTTATTATTCATGCTAGAATTGTATTAACCGGAAACATAATACATGTGTGAATACATAGACCAACATAACGTCACTAGTATGCCTCTACTTGACTAGCTCATTAATCAAAGATGGTTATGTTTCCTAACCATAGACATGTGTTGTCATTTGATTAACGGGATCACATCATTAGGAGAATGATGTGATTGACTTGACCCATTCCGTTAGCTTAGCACTTGATCGTTTAGTATATTGCTATTGCTTTCATCATGACTTATACATGTTCCTGTAACTATGAGATTATGCAACTCCCGTTTACCGGAGGAACACTTTGGGTGCTACCAAACGTCACAACGTAACTGGGTGATTATAAAGGAGTACTACAGGTGTCTCCAAAGGTACATGTTGGGTTGGCATATTTCGAGATTAGGTTTTGTCACTCCGA